AGCCAGGGAAAAGGCAAGCAGAAGCTCTTGGTTGTCTGCTATATGTAGTTTCCCTGTTTAGCCAACTGAAGCCCAGGAGTACAAACGTGAGGAGGTGGCAAAGTATACACTTTGGCTCCACTGTGTCGGCTGACTCATCAAGAAAGGGGGAAATTTAAGGATGGATTTTCTTTCTCATCAAATCTTATATTTGATATAGTATAATCAATTCATTTATTTAAAGCCCACACACCATGAGAGATATGGTATAATCTATCTGAAAGTGGAAAAATATCAGTGGAGAATCTACCTGGAGGATGTAACTATGGATAGCCAGATGGGGCAAAGCTTTGCAAAACATGGAGCCAACACAAAACTACCAACCTTTTTTTTTTTTTTTTCCTTTTCTTTAGATAGAGTCTCAATCTGTTGCCAAGGCTAGAGTTCAGTGGTGCAATCTCGGGCATGCCACCATGCCCGGCTAATTTTTTTGTAGAGAAGGGGATTTGCCAAGTTGCCCAGTCTGGTCTCAAACTCCTGAGCTCTAGTGACCTGCCTGCCTCAGCCTTCCACGGTGCTGGGAGTACAGGCGTGAGCCACCACACCTGGCTAAAACTACCAACTTTTTTTTTTCTGAGATGGAATTTCACTCTTGTTGCCCCAGCTGGAATGCAATGGCACAATCTCGGCTCACTGCAACCTCCACCTCCCAGGTTCACGCGATTCTCCTGCCTCAGCCTCCTGAGTAGCTGTGATGACAAGAATGTGCCACTAGGACCGGCTAATTTTGTATTTTTAGTAGAGACGGGGCTTCGCCATGTTGGTCAGGCCAGTCTTGAACTCCTGGTCTCAGGAGAGTGATCCACCTGCCTTGGCTTCCCAAAGTGTTGGGATTACAGGCGTGAGCTACAATGCCTGGCCCCAAGCTACCAATTTTTAACAGCTAACTAAGACTATCTTTTCAGTTCTTAGAGGGATTAAGTTTTTAATTTCAAGTTTTAGGTGAAAGCTAACACTACATCACCAAATAGCATGGCTACAGCTGCATATTCATTAGATACTGAGTGTGGAATGAATGGTGAACAATTAATCATAGTCCCACCTCACATTCACACAGACCTCACTAGTTTCAAAATGTTTTTGCATACATTATCACATTTGAAAAAAAAAAACAATTTATAATCAGCACACTTCCTGCTTTCAATGCAAATCTATTTTTCTAAGTTTCCTGCTTAATTTTCTTACATGGGCTAAACACTGCCCAAGCAATCTTTCACAGATTATTTAATCACTTGACAAACTCTTTTTTTTTCTTTTAACAAATAAGTTTTGCCTCAGGCTTACGATATAGACTTCATACTACACAGTCCAATTTAATGAAAATTCTCAGCTGGGCACGGTGGCTCATGCCTGTAATCCCAGCACTTTGGGAGGCCCAGGCAGGTGGATCACCTAAGGTCAGGAGTTCAAGACCAGTCTGGCCAACATGGCAAAACCCCGTCTCTATTAAAAATACAAAAAATAGCTGGGTGTGGTGGTGGGCACCTGTAATCCCAGCTACTCAGGAAGCTGAGGCAGGAGAATCGGTTGAACCGAGAGAGAGAGAGAGAGAGAAAGAGAGAGAGGGAAATTTCAACGTGGAAATATGATAAAAATTTGTCCAGGCCAAACAGTTCTTGAGAAGGAAAGCATTCTCATATTTTGCAAAGTGACTGTAATATAGCCCCTTCCTTAAGCAAAATGTTGGCATCAAAAATATTGGGAACCCTTCGAATGGTATGACTTCTTTTTTAAATTTTGCAGTGATGATGCAAAGGCGAGTCTTATGATATTTTAATAGGTGAAGTCACAATATGTTACAGAGCTTTTGGGCACTGCAGTGACATGCTAGGCAGATATGCAGCTTTTACCGATCTTCCCTGTGTTTAAATTTGGCATCACCAATTTCCCTCTCCACAGCAAGGCCATCTGCCTTGATCCTAGCAGCTTGCTCCTCCATGATGAGCACATACAATCAGTGAGATCAGCCTGATTTGGCTCACCAGCAGGATTAGAAAAGGATGTGTAGGCCGGGCGCGGTGGCTCACGCCTGTAATCCCAGCACTTTGGGAGGCCGAGGCGGGTGGATCACGAGGTCAAGAGATCGAGACCATCCTGGTCAACATGGTGAAACCCCGTCTCTACTAAAAATACAAAAACATTAGCTGGGCGTGGTGGTGTGTGCCTGTAATCCCAGCTACTGAGGAGGCTGAGGCAGGAGAATTGCCTGAACCCAGGAGGGGGAGGTTGCGGTGAGCCGAGATCGCGCCATTGCACTCTAGCCTGGGTAACATGAGTGAAACTCCGTCTCAAAAAAAAAAAAAAGAAAAAGAAAAAAAATCTCTAGCTGAAATCTCTATGTAAATAAGCCTTGACCTCACAACTAGATGTCGGTCCTTAATCTTCAACTGGAAGTTAATTGCTATCACTTTAAACAACCTGAAAAGAAACTTACCTTCTAGTTATAATTCCCTTTCCATTATTTCAGGATTCTTCCAATCTCACAGGCAGACATCGTGTTTGAGATTTTTCTCCCTCTTAGCAGCTAGAGCTATTCTGTTAACAACCAGTATAAAGGAAAGGCTTTGAAGCCAGACTAATGGGAGTTCAAATACTTGCTTAATTAAAAATGGACATTGGGTAAATTACTTAACCCCTCCGTTCCTCAAATCCCTTGTCTGTGTAACTGAGAACTAGCTCACAGGGATCTGCTATGAGGATAAAATTATATAATGAGATACAGAAATTAACTAGCATTTCTTCTGACAACCCAAAACAAGAGGTTCTCTCTGAACTATCCAAAAGAAATTATGTATAAGTAAAGGTCAAAAAAATGTGAGTATATTAAAATTACAAATAAAACCATTAAAGTAAATTTAAAAATAAAACCTAAAAAATTGAGAGGGAAAAGTAAGGATTCTTTTATTTATAAGTTATACTAAATAGAAAGAGGTATAGGCTGGGCGCAGCAGCTCACACCTGTAATCCCAACACTGGGAGGGAGAAGTGGGTAGATCACCTGAGGTCAGGAGTTCAAGACCAGCCTGACCAACAAGGGCGAAACCCCATCTCTACTAAAAATACAAAAATTAGCTGGGCATGATGGCAGGCACCTGTAATCCCAGCTACTTGGGAGGCAGAGGTTGCAGTGAGCTGAGATCACTCCACTGAACTCCAGCCTAGACGACAGAGTAAGACTCCATCTCAAAAAGAAAAAAAAAAGAGTAATGGAGATATAAGCATTGTATTCAGAGTTGGATGGTCAACAACCAGAAAATTAAAAAGAAGGATGTTAAGAAATCTAGTTTTCTGAGGAATAAGGCTGGGAGTAGAAGAAAGAAGCAGAGACTTTTCATTTTAAACTCTTCTGTAGCTTTTGAATTTCATTTTCCTGCCTAGATACTGCTTTAAAAACAGCTGGTAATTTTAAGTGGCAAAGATTAAAATTTGACATGAAACTTCATGTATGTGTACTTGTATATGTTCATATAGTGATATAACAAAAATAAGAATGTACTGTATTCTTTTACAATCAGTTGTTCCCAGTTAATATTTCAATTTTTAAAATATATCCTATATAAATCAAAAGGTAAATGGATAGATGGATAGGTAAATGAATGAAGACTCCCAATGTTAATAGTGATCTTTTCTGATAGTGATATTATAACCTTTTTTTTTCCATCTTAATATTTTCTACATTTTCAAAAATCCATATTAAACTTATAATCAGAAAAAAAAAAAAGGCTTTTTCTAAAACAGATTAAATCAAACTAAAAATCATGTTCCTAGAGAAAATATAAATGAAATACCAAGGTTCCTGGCATAGAGCGTTTCCCTTCACCCCTTTGCCGTCATTTCTTTCTCTGAACTACCTCTGGGATGTTGGCCCTTCCACTTCATCTCCCCTCCCTCATTTAATTTAGGAGAGTTCACCCCTCTGCCTCATACCTAATGTCATTTCAAAAGCTTCTCAACCTGACTCTCTATCACTAATGACTTACCTGTCTAATCCACCCACCACAATAAAAATACAGAATTAATGTTAAACATCACTTTGTTCAACCGGATCAGTCCCCTACTTAAGAAAGCACACAGACCTTCTTCTGCTCCATATTTTGGTTAAAACCTCTCTGGCTTAGTTCTCATAGCTGTTAGTCCATAACCTGGTGCTCCCCAACTCTGAAGGCTTTTGTCCCCCTTCCTCCTTGAAGTACACTGTAGGCTTTGGCCACCTGACCTTCCCTGGCCCTATCTTGTACTCTCCCATGCTTTCCCATCTTTTCCTCATTGGGAAAGCCTAATAATTCAACCTTCCAATTCCAGCGCCACTTCTATTCTTCCCCAGAGCCTTCCAAGATGATTTCATCTTCCTTTCTGTAACTCCAACTGACCTCAGTCAGAACTACACAGTTTAGTAGCGTAAAGCACTTTGTGTAGTTTCCATCTCTCCAAATAGAACGAAAACACTTAGCAAGCTTGTGCCTTAAAGCTTTTTGTCTCCATCTCCCCCTGAGCATCTAACAGGTAAGGCATAATCATGAGATAATTTAACAAGAAATACCTTTTGTTTCAAAATAATCAATTTATTAATCTAATGTCAACAATACTAATTACTTATCAAGAGATTCTGTAAATGATAGATACAATGCAAGCAGCACCGTAAGTCAGCAATAAAAAAGGTATCCCTTATTGACATATTCCTTTCACACTACTCCCACATCATAAATGCATTTTTTTTTCCCTTGAGACGGAGTCTTGCTCTGTCGCCAGGCTGGAGTGCAGTGGTGCAATCTCGGCTCACTGCAACCTCCGCCTCCTGGGTTTAAGCGATTCTTCCGCCTCAGCCTCCCAAGAGTAGCTGGAACCACAGGTGCGTGCCACCATGCCTAGCTAATTTTTGTATTTTTAGTAGAGACGACGGGGTTTCACCATGTTGGCCAGGATGGTCTCAATCTCTTGACCTTGTGATCTGCCCACCTCAGCTTCCCCAAGTGCTGGAATTACAGGTGTGATATAAATGCATTTTTAGTTACCCAGGTACAGCTAGTCAGAAAAGGTAGCCAAATTATGCTTCCAAATGGCATGTCTTTATTTGCTCCACTGAGGTACAGGTAATTAAAATTATACAAAGAACTTGTTCTCTTTAAAGAGCTACTAATTTATAGTTTAGCCACATCATCAGAGGCCGTATCTTATAACTCTCACAATGCCTCAGTGCCCTTTACACAGTAGGAAGCAAATGAGAAAGTCATAACCAAATACTAAAAAACTCCCAACATATGTTATAAAATGATATCTAAAAACAGCTGGCACTTAGATGTCCGCAGGAAAGTGTCTCAATTTCCAATTTGTTACTGAGAGTAACAATCTCTGCCTTAATAGATACTGTCTGAATTGAAACACTTTATGTCAGAAATAACTAAACGTGAGACGGCAGGGAAACTGGGAAACATCATAAATGACTCATATAAACACTAAAAACTCAAAAATCTTGCTCACTCAGTCAAACAGTGACTGAGTAGCTCTTCCATACCAGACACCACACTGGGTTCACAGGGTACAACCCCTTCCTTTGACAGGACGAGGAAGGAATCCAAGACTCGAAAGAGCAAAGTTACTTTTCACACAAGCTACACAAAAAATTCAATGGCAGAGCTGGACTAAAGTTTATAACTAATTCATATTTCTCTGCAACAAACCATACTAATACCTTGATACTTTGAATGTTTTCAAGTAAGCCACATTTTATTTGAATAAAAAATGAAAGTCATATTAGAACTACCTACCCAGAGATACACAATGTTCTAAAAAATCCAAGAAATAAAGATTTAGACTCACAAAAGTAATTATGAACAAAAAGCTAAAGACTAACAGAGGTAAATGCAAGGCCCAGATGTAAGCATTATTTTATTCCTGTAGCACTTTGACATGTATTGTCATAATGAAAAAATTAGTTACACAAAAATAGCAGGATCATACAATTTAGCATCTTCCTTAAGGCCTTATTCCCTTTATGTAACTTTCTGGAACCTAGTTAACTGCCACTTTCTCCCCAGTTGATCACTATACGCTGGTGTGGCACAATTCTGAATCAGCTTGCTTACCTGCAGATACCAGGACAACGGCTGTAAACAAACTCATCTCTTCATCACTAAGCTGGAGGGCATTCAGCTTCTCACTAAATTCAAACATAGAGTTTAGCAGATCCCCTGCTCCCATTGAGTGTAAATCATCCACGCTGTATTTCTTTCCACTTAAAAAGGTGACAGTACGTTCCTTTGCATCAAATAATGATGCAAACCGTACCATTAAAACCTGGAAAAAGAAAAAGACTTAAATGTATTTGGAGAAGTTTAACAGCAATACTAAAAAATAATTTAGTATTCAAGTCAGTTATGAAACATCCCACATATAAAAGAAAGTCATAAAAGAAACACAGGGTTTATTTTTACCCAAAACCACTTTATTTCTTTCATTCACTCATTCATTCCTTTATTTTATTATTATTCTTATATCTTTTTTTTTAAATTGCATTTTAGGTTTTTTAAGATGGAGTTTTCTTCCTGTCGCCTAGACTTGAATGCAGTGGCAAAATCTTGGCTCACTGCAACCTCTGCCTCCTGGGTTCAAGCGATTCTCTCCCCTCAGCCTCCCAACTAGCTTGAATTACAGGTGCACACCACTATGCCCAGCTAAAGTTTTGTTTTCAGTAGAGATGGGGTTTCACCCTGTTGGCCAGGCTGGTCTCAAACTCCTGACCTCAGGTGATCTACCCACCTCAGCCTCCCAAAGTGCTGGAATTACAGGCATGAGCCACTGTGCCCGGCCCATTTATTTATTGAGACAGTGTCTTGCTCTGTTGCCCACGCTGGAGTACAGTGGTGCCATCACATCTTACTGAAACCTCAACCTCCCAGCTCAAGTGATCCTTCCCACCTCGGCCTCCTGAATAGCTGGGGATACAGATGCATACCACCACACCCAGCTAATTTTTGTATTTTTTGTAGAGAAAGGATTTCACATGTTGTCCAGGCTGGTCTTGAACCCCTGGACTCATGTCATCCACCTGCCTTGGCCTCCCAAAGTGCTTGGATTACAAACATGAGCCACCATACCCAGTCCTACAACCACTTTCTTAAGACAAATTCTCTACCAAAGCCATAAATACTCCAAGAAGAACATCAAAAAAAAATTCTAGCCACCAATGGCAAAATAAGAGTCCTGTGAGAGTAGTTTCCAGGCTCGCGAAAGGGAGGACCCTGTTTGAGTCATGGATTTTGAGAATCTTTTCTCAAAACCCCCCAACCCGGCCCTCGGCAAAACGGCCACGGATTCTGACGAAAGATGGGAAAACTGAGAAGCACGGAGAGGCTAAATAACCTGCCGAGATTGCACAGTAATCGTTGATGAAGTAGATGTTGCAGGAGTTGAAGAAACACAAGAAGAGAAATCTAAACAGGAGTGCGAGCAAATTTCCAAAAAATTCAGACACTTTGGAAACTCTACAATATCACCAAAAAGTTCGCTGCATAGGAAATCAAGAAGTAAGGACTATGATGTATATAGTGATAAGGATATCTGCAATCAGGAACCAGAAGATAATTTTGCCAAAGAGCTTCAGCAATATATACAAGCCAGAGAAATGGCAAATGCTGCTCAACCTGAAGAATCTATGAAGAAAGAAGGAGTAAAAAATGCCCCACAGGCTGCTAAACAAAAAAATAAAAATCTTAAAGCTGGTCACAAAAATGGCAAACAGAAGAAAATGAAGCGAAAATGGCCTGGCACTGGAAACAAAGGATCAAATTCACAGGAAGAGGATGGTAAACCTAAAGAGAAGCAGCAGCATTTGAGTCAGGCATTCATCAATCAACATACAGTGGAACGCAAAGGAAAACAAATTTGTAAATATTTTCTTGAAAGAAAATGTATTAAGGGAGACCAGTGTAAATCTGATCATGATGCAGAGATAGAGAAGAAAAAGGAAATGTGTAAGTTTTATGTACAAGGATATTGTACCAGAGGTGAAAACTGTCTGTATTTGCATAATGAATATCCTTGTAAGTTTTACCATACAGGCACAAAATGTTATCAGGGAGAATATTGCAAGTTTTCTCATGCTCCATTGACTCCTGAAACACAAGAATTATTGGCTAAAGTTTTGGATACTGAAAAGACATCATGTAAATAAAATAGACATAAAAAGAATCTGTTTCCAGGCTGGGGTGCAGTGACACAGTCTTGGCTCACTGCAACCTCTGCGTCCCAGAGGTTCAAGTGATTCTCATGACTCAGCATCCCTAGTAGCTGGGACTACGGGCGTGCACCACCATGCCTGACTAATTTTTGTATTTTTAGTAGAGACAGAATTTCACCATGTTGGCCGGGCTGGTCTTGAACTCCTGATCTCAGGTGATCTGCCCATGTTGGCCTCCCAAAGTGCTGGGATTACAGAGGTGAGCCACCATGCCTGGTCACCAGCACCATTTTTTTAAAAAACTCCCATTTCCCTGACTTGCCTTCATGCTTTTGTCAAAAATCAACTGACTATAAATGTTTGTATTTATTTCTGTACTAAGCTGTGTTCCTTTGATGTCTATATGTGTGTCCTTATACACTATCACAGTGTCTTGATCACTATAGCTTTGTACTAAGTTTTGAAATAAGGAAGTGTAAGCTGTCTAGATTTCTTCTGCTTTTCAAAGATTGTTTTGGCTACTCTGGATCTTTTGCTTTTCCCATGTAAGTTTTAGGATCAGCTTGCAAATTTCTGCAAAAAACCCATGCTGAGATTGTTTTTGTTGTTGTTGTTTTTTTGTTTTTTTGAGACGGAGTTTTGCTCTCGTTACCCAGGCTGGAGTGCAATGGCGCGATCTCGGCTCACCGTAGCCTCCGCCTCCTGGGTTCAGGAAATTCTCCTGCCTCAGCCTCCTGAGTAGCTGGGATTACAGGCACGTGTCACCATGCCCAGCTGATTTTTTGTATTTTTAGTAGAGACGGGGTTTCACTATGTTGACCAGGATGATCTCGATCTCTTGACCTCGTGATCCACCCGCGTCGGCCTCCCAAAGTGCTGGGATTACAGGAGTGAGCCACCGCGCCCGGCCCCATGCTGAGATTTTGATAGGGATTGCATAGAATCTGTNAAAAAAAAAAAAAAAAAAAAAAAAAAAGAGTCCTGTGATACTCTGACACTCTATTAACAAAGATTCTGAAATACAAATATAAAATTAGCGCAAGAAATAATGCCAATAAGATTAAAACTGGGCCCTGGCCAAAGGCATTAAAAAAACTCTTTAGGCTGCCAAGTATACCACATGGCCTCTCTATGCCTCAAGTAAAAAGAGCAAAATTCCAATGCAGCAGTACTTCAAAACATCAAACGCAGCCAGGGTAAAGGAAGTAGATGAAGTCTAACTGAACTACTTCAAGAAACCATAACCCAAAGAGACTATCCACAAAGAAAACTACCACAGTAAGTGTTCTAAGCACCATGTAATAATTGACATCCAAGTTAAGTCAGTTAACAATTATATTGCTTAGTTATCTTACTCCCTCCATTATACTAAATCCAGTGAGAATAAGTGAAAATATAACCCCAGCTCACTTCTCCTATCGATCAAAGGTTCAAAGATTTGGCCCATCAAACATCAACTTCCTCTCACCACCCCAATCTCAGTTATCCTTAATTAGGTCCCAAGGCGCTTCATACCTCAGCATCAAACGGGAAGCCCTGGGGCAGACAGAAAGTGAAAGACACCCAACTAAGGACCAGGAGAGGCACTTCTCTAAGTTATGCAGTAGAGACTACCCCAAGCCCAGGCAGGACACAACGTTGTAACAGAAGCTGGAGCAGCAAAGGATCCTGAAGCAAGGAGGATCTGAGGTGGCACATAATCAATACCTGATATATCCCCAAAATATTCTACAGTCCCTCAAAAAACCAAAAACCACATTCTATTTGCCCTTCTTATTCTGTATCAAATATAGTAAATGCTGGGCTAGGCTCTCAGAAGGTGTCTAACGATGCAGAAACTTGTTAAGTCCACATCTGAAAGCAGTACCAGAACTTAGGAGTTCATATGCTAGAGATACAGAATACCTATATTTCAAATCCTAAATAATAAAAAATATAAAATCCTAAATAATTCTGGATTTACCAAGTCTCTTCCCAAAATCCTGAGATGATTATTTTGTTGATTAGATTCAAACTCTGGACTATAAATACTGACTTAGGAAAGAATGAAAACAGCCAGGCACAGTGGCAAACGCCTGTAATCCCAGCACTGCAGGAGGCCGAGGCAGACAGATGACAAGTTCAGGAGATCGAGACCACCCTGGCGAACACAGTGAAACCCCGTCACTACTAAAAATACAAAAAGTTAGCCAGGTGTTGTGGCACACACCTGTGGTCCCAGCTACTCGGGAGGCTGAGGTAGGAGAATGGTCTGAACTCGGGAGGCGGAGGCTGCAGAGAGCCAAGATCGCGCCTGAGAGACAGAGTGAGACTCTGTCTCAAAAAAAAAAAAAAGAAAGAAAGAAAGAAAAAAAGAATGAAAACATCTGCCAGGCACAGTGGCTCACACCTGTAACCCCAGCACTTTAGGAAGCCAAGGTGGGTAGACTGCTTTGAGCTCAGGAGTTTGAGACCAGCCTGAGAAACATGGCAAAACTCTGTTTCTACAAAAAAAAACTAGCCAGGCATGGTAGCTCACACCTGTAGTCCCAGTTACTCAGGAAGCTGAAGCTGGAAAATGCTTGAGCCCAGGAAGCTGAGGTTGCAGTGAGCCATGATTGCACCACTGCACTCCAGCCTGAGTGATAGAGCAAGATTCTATCTCAAAAAAAAGAAAAAGATTAGGAGTCATATTTACATAATTTTATTTCTATTTATGTAAGGTCTAATTATTAAAATATTTCAGAACATAGATAATAGAATTAATCACAAAAAAAAAAAAAAAAAAAAAAAAAGAATTAAAACATCCATGAAAATAAAATACTACATGTTCTTCCTGCATCAATATTAGGATAAATAAAACCTACCTCAAAAGTCCCAGCCTTTAAAAGGTTGACCTGGTCATGCTGAGAGAGATCTCTGAAACCAGGAATACGCTTTGCAAATTCCACCACTTCTTTCACTGCTGGAGTGAAGCTCATCGAAAACTCTTCCCAGATTTCATGCCCCGATTTATGAGGATCCACATATGGAGACTTACTCATTGGACAAACCTAGTATACACAAAACAGAAACACTGTTAAATACTAACAGGTGGTAAAGAAACGTCAAAAGCGGCATCTTAATTATCAGAAACCCCAAAATAAATTTAACCCCCAAAACACAAGTAAAATCTACTGAAATATTAGTACTTTATCCATTTGCTGCCCACCACACTGTAGAAAGCCTCTGGGCAATCTAATATAAATAGTAATTTTTTTTATCATAAAAAACATAGCCTAAGCAAAATACCATCTATAACAAGTATTTAGAACACCTGTTGCAGCTTTCAGAGTTTATTTTGTAACACTTCTGCCACCTTATGCTAGTATATGGTGTTTTACGATTTTTCAAACAAATTCACACAAATTTGTCTGATTCTCAACCTGTTATTCATGGCAGATTATAATTTCAATTTCTTAGGTGGGAAAATGAGACTCTGAGAGGTTCAGTGATTTGTCCCACACAGCTAGAAGCCACAGGCCTAGACCCAAATTCACATTTAGTTAGTATTTCAAAACTCCCTTATTTCTAAACAGGCAGAATTACAATGTTGTAATTTCCAAGAGAAAAACATAGTGAGGTGCCTCATTTTGTTAAAAAGGTCACTGCCTGGCTGGGCAAGGAGGCTTACGCCTGTAATCCCAATGCTTTGGGAGGCCGAGGCAGGTGGATCACAAGGTCAGGAGTTTGAGACCAGCCTGGTCAAGAGGGTGAAACCCCGTCTCTAATAATAATAAAAAAATTAGCTGGGAGTGGTGGCGGCACCTATAGTCCCGGCTATTCAAGAGGCTGAGGCTGAAGAATCACTTGAACCCAGGAGGCAGGGGTTGCAGTGAGTTGAGATCACACTACCACACTCCAGCCTGGGCAACAGAGCAAGACTGCATCTCAAAAAAAAAAAAAAAAAAAAAAAAAAAAAAGTCACTGCCCATTTATTTCAAAAACAGTGTTGTGATCACTGACTTCTGCTTGTTCAATTAGGAAACAAAAACTGCAGATACAGGTGCACCTTCTAAATGAGGATTGAGTGAGGGAAAACAGGAAGCCAAGAAATTATAAAAACACCAAAGAGATGATGAAACACCCTCTGTATGTTCTATTAGTAAAATCGGCCTTCATATTTTCACTGAATCCTAGCTACTTAGCCCCAAAGAAAAAAAGACTGAAAAGAAAAAGGAAAATAAATTTTCACTAAATCCATACAAAACCTAGGAATTGGGATGATTATAAAGCCATGGAGAATATCATGAAATGAGAACCTAAATGCCTACAGATTTTACCTTCATGAAAGCAGCCATTTGGCCAGATGTGATGGCTCATGCCTATAATCCCAGCACTTTGGAAGGCCGAGGCAGGCGAATCACTTGAAAACCAGGAGTTCAAGACCAGACTGGCCAACATGGCAAAACCCATCTCTACTGAAAATACAAAAATTAGCCAGGCATGGTGGCACACACCTATAATCCCAACTACATGGGAGGCTGAGGCACAAGAATTTCTTGAACCCAAGAGACGGAGGTTGCAATGAGCTGAGGTCGTGCCACTGCACTCCAGCCTGGGCAACACAGCGAGACTGTCTCAAAAAAAAAAAAAAAGGCAACTACTTAGTCTAACAAAAGGTTCACAGAATCAAATACTTGAAAGGGACAACAAAAAATTTAATGAAGACTGAAGTAGAGTCAACTATTTTGAAAATGAAAAAGAAGACTTTAATTACCTGTCAGTAGAAAATACCAAGCACTATCAACCTTAGGGTTTAAACTGGAAATAGTGTGGCACTGTTTTTGATGGAATTTTGGCTGAACATGAACACTGTACTTTCATGTAGAATGTCGTATTTGATGGAAAAACTTGAATGATATGACCAACATTAATTCATCTCATAAGATGAAGTCTGAGAAAATCCTTAGAAACTAGCCTATGAGCCGGGCGCGGTGGCTCAAGCCTGTAATCCCAGCACTTTGGGAGGCCGAGGCGGGTGGATCACGAGGTCAAGAGATCGAGACCATCCTGGTCAACATGGTGAAACCCCGTCTCT